TCAGAGTTTCAGTTTACCCTCTCCAAGGAGAACATTCTGTCTGTCGATGGTTCCCGCCCCCACCTAGACTCGCTAGTCTAGGGGTGGGCCGCGTCCCACTTTCGGTTGTCTGGTGTATTCGTTCGCGGGGGACATCCTGCCGCACACACGAGCCAAGCATTTCACACCTGCTGACAATTCTAGAACAGTCCAGTCTTCGGCGGAGGTGTCCAATAGTAACCCTAAAACTTCGTTTACGGCCACATTATGTATTTGCAGGATTGGCAGGCTTGTACTGCCGGGTATACCTTTTGAAGCACGATTTGCAAAAAACGCTAATCAATTATAGTGGGGCGATTTCCCTGACGACTTTGTACATCGTGCGACCGGCGTTCACAGTAACATTGTGGGATCTTTCAGAAGTGGGGTAAAGCGCCGATTGAAGAACGTGTACGGTTCTGTCTAAGAGATGAGATTGGTTGACTTTGATGAGGTTCAGCATCGAATGTGGTTCGATTTTTCATATTAAACACTTCCCACTTATATGGAAACATTTTGAGCCACATCAAGCAGGCGTATCTCTGTTAAACCATTTTATTTTCTTGCTGGTTATGTTCTGTTGATGCTATGTTATTCATAAGCATTTTTTATACTGATGTTCATGAGAGCTCTGATTTTTAGACATCACGCTACTTATGAGTAGTCGTAATATTTCTGCCAAAAATCGTTCAATGGGGTTACAAACAAATTACCAAGCTCAGCGAACAGGCGAAATGGAATTCAGTTCACCCGAGCTACGAGAACCGATTTTCAATATTTTGTCAAGGGGGTTTACTGTTGGACCCCTCCGCCCAGTCTTCATAGGACGTATTCTGGCCGTTGCCAATTGCGCGTCGAAATTATTTAGTTGTCGGTGGATGTTATTTTCTTCCAAAACCGCGTTATACGGGTTTGTTTTATTGAATTCTCAGTCGAGGCTGTAGTATCTCCTGTGGCCAACAGACGAGGATATCGATGATGTTGAAACCAAGTGGGCTCATTTTTAGAACAACATCATCAACCTAGTTAGCATGTTCGTTCCACCCAGGGTAGTACAGACGTATGCCAAAGGCCCCCCATGGTTCGACCGTGAACTCCGAAACCTTCTGCGCAGACTCTATGGGGCTTAAAATTTCTTCCAGCAAACCGGTAAAGGGTACGACCACTACTAAGATATCCGCAACCACTGTACCTCAGCCAAACGCTGGAAAAGGGCGGCCTTCGAGGACAGCTTGACAGCGACCGCTGCTACCGCCCCTGAGAGTCTGTTCGCCTATCTGAGACGAAGAAGCAGAGTTTCTACCACCCTATCACCACTCTTGGACCAAGGA